GGAGAGAGCTAGAGAGGGGAGAGAGCGAGAAGGCAGATGGGTGGGTGGGGGCGCGCCGGCAATCATTTTGTACCTGCGCCCATGAACATGCCCACACCACGAAAAGAACGAAAAGTGACAACAACGAACATGACCATAGACACAAATATGACAAACTGGCAATGATGAACACGGGCACGGAAACAACAAAAGAATTTTAAAGAACAAAGTGCAAACTACAAATGGGCACAAAAATGAAACGAAGAAAAAGGAAAAGAAAAACACAAACAACATGAAAAAAAGACAAAACGCAATCAAAAGATCGGCGTGCTCAGATACTCATGCTGAGTTGCTGCCTTGCATCCCCCGCTGCACTTCTCTCTCTCTTCCCTTATTCCATGGCACTGTGAAGAATTCATTATGGAACCCCCTACTGCACCCCCGCAACCATCGATCCTCCACGATCAATGGCCCTAGTCTGAATCTCTGCTCGCAATCGGCATTATGCTTGCCATCGACCGTCCCCTGACAGCTGATATGCCTCAAGGGATAGGATTATTGCCTCATTCAACAAGGGCTCGTTTCGAATGTGTGTAACCTTTTTTTCTCAAAAAGCTGATGACCGGTATGATTGAACTGACCAGCCTCAGGTAACTCAGAAGAATTTGATTTCATTCATCTAGTTCCATTTGGATTCAAACTCAGTTCTGCATTTCAAGTTTCAACAGTTTGTGGGTGTACAACTGAACTAGGATTGTTGGTAACCTGAAGATTTCCCTCCTCTGTTTCTTTTTTTTTTTTTGGGGGGGGGGGGGGGGGGGGGGGGGGCGGGGACGGTCGGGGGTGGGGGGGTGGAGAGGACTTCCATGCAGGTTGCACTGCTCAATTTCATGATCACCCCAGAAGGACTTTTTGACCAGATTCAAGGGATTGTTGTGGCAAAAGAAAGACCAGAGCTGGAGGAGGAAAAAAATGCATTAATTGTGCAAGGAGCTGAAAATAAAAGGCAGCTACAGGAAATTGAGGACCAGATACTTGCTGTCCTCTCAACGGAAGGAAACATTCTAGAGAATGAGAGTGGCATTCAGGTACTTTCTTTTGCCTGAAAAGGTCCTTATGGTCCTGTCCTTCGGGACATCCCTTAAAATTGGAACCATGCAGAGAAGATTAGCATGACCCCTATGCTTTGAAGGGTGGCACACATAAATCGAGAAATGGTGCAAGTTTTAGAAAAGGGGTCCAGTCCTTCGGGACATCCTTAAAAATTGGAAATTTGGAACGATACAGAGAAGAGATGCACTTCAGAAATGAAGATAAACTGGAGGAAAACGGCGGGGCGGTGGTTGTCGGAGGAGGAGTTACTTCCTATGGCAGGCCCAGAAGCAGAAATGACATGCGGGGGACCCGAGAACCTGACAAGATACCTGGGAATCATGGTTACCAAGGAGGGTCCATCCCACAAATGGCACAGAGCCTGCCAACGAATCAAACAAACAGAATGGGAAGATGGGGCAACACATTCACCTCAATGCTAGGACGAGCCTTAACAATCAATACGTCCATCTTATCGATGATGTGGTACATATCCTCCATCTGGACCATACCGGATCCAACTATTAAGGAACTGAACAGCAGAGCGAGGGCATACGTCTGGTCAGGTGACCCTAACAAAACGAAGTACATTCCTAAAATAGCCTGGCATTACATAACCAGGAGGCCGTCAAAGGGGGCACTAGGGATAATCGATCCCAAACAAGAAACCAAGGCTCTGCAGATCAAATGGGTAGTTAAACTACTAACCCAACCCAGGTTGGTGGGGCACAAACTAGCCCTGGATAGCATTAGATCCTTAGCCCCAGTTCAGACCCCAGATAATATGTCAGGCCTCTTCTGGGTAATGAACAAGGATTGGACACTGAAAACCGGTAGGAGAAGACACCGAGAAACCTCGCAGCGAGACAATGCACAGCCTCCCACTCCTCTGCAAGAAGACCTATTAGATCCGTATATCTGCCCGAGAGTTTGCGTTCTCTCAACGAAGAAGAAAGACCTCCGCGGATCTTATCCGGAGAAAGGCTCTTGTTCGTCTGCGGAATCTGACTGACCCTCTTCGCTGCCTGTAAGGGTTGGTTTCCCTCCCCAGCTACTGGACATAACTTATCAGGATTTGGAGGGAGATAATGCCTAAACAGGTTAAGAAGCCCAAATCCAAGGAAGAGGTGTTGGGGCGGCCTCTCTTCGGTAACCAGAACGTCAAAGATGCAGGAGACCAGCCACTGTCGTTAGCAGGAGGTCAGAGATGGCTGTCCTGGATTAGGCACGAGACTTGGATGGTAAGTCACATCTGGGACGAAGAGAAAAAGGACTGGATCAATGAGAATCTTTTAAAAGCTCGACTAAAGGGTTTCAGACTATGTCATATCAAATTCTTATGATGTATCAATGGGACGCTGGGCCCAATTTCCAGCAGGTGATGCTCTCACTCGTAGATGGAGCGGCTGCTAGCAGACTTACGTAGAACTCACAGTCTCAAACTCTCCTAATTTCAGACAATGTCATATCAAATTCTTATCATGTTCCAATGGGACACTGGACCCAATTTCCAGCAGATGATGCTCCCTCACATAAAGAGTGAGTTGGGTACAACATATAAACAAAAAATTGCTGAGATACAGAGACTTTTTCTGAAGTAGTACTTTTTTTTTATATCTATGTGATTAACCAAAGTATACTAATATTGACCGTATAATCAGAGAAAGATAGCAGACTTTCATGGATTTCATCTCAGGTGGAAGGACTGGCACAACTCCACTCCAACTAAGGGACTAAGGGGTACTGATCCAAGTAACCGGTACCTCCTCCCATTCGGAGGGAAACATCATTGCAGACTCTGATATTGCCCGTACAGGCACTAGACTCAGACTGGTTGGACTGGTACCCGCCTAGACCTCGCCTACAACTACTGGGCCTCTAAAAATGCTAACTTTGTCTTCTTCTGCTCGGCCTCGAGTACCCGGCACATCTACCTCTTCCTGGTGTGGTACCGGCCTACCTGTTACTCTAGTGTTTTTCCACTGCTCCAAGTGTTGTGGGCCTCTTTCCCCGCCACTTGAGTGTTTTCCCTGCGGCAACCCTCAATGCCACGGCCACAGGTAAGTACCGGCCCTTTGGGCCTTCCGCACGAACAAGTACCCTTGCGGGTCACACACAAACTCAAACCGACTAGCACTCAGACAGGCAACTAGACCAGCAAGCACGCACACACTCAGACTTAGAAAACTCAGCAAAAAGCGGGAAACTCAGCAAGGCGTATGGGTCTCAGTCCGTGTTTGGCAGGTCCTAACAGAGACCTCAGAAATGCTGCCCCCTTTCCTCCCCCTCTTCTCTGAATCTCCCTCACTGAAACTCACCACCCTGGAAGTCATTTTCATGATCAACTTTTCAGAGGAGGCCTCAGATGACAGGTGGCTCTTGTGTCATTCTGAGGCCTCTCCATTTTGGGAAGAACTCTGTAATTGCAACCCTGTGCCCCATTCCCAGATTGAGCTCTAAGCCAGGCAGGGGTTTTGTGAGCAAGGGTACGTTTCCAAAGAATGAGGTATGGGACTGTGGATCATTGCAGGCTCATTGGAACTCTACCAATGTACCACAGAGGTCCCAGCAGTCCCATTGTTATCTGCATGTCAGTTCCGTACACGATGTGCATGAATGCTCGCCGCATTGCTCGGTCATCGTGGCCTTCTTCCGTTTGTTCTACAACTGTCAATGATTGTTTCACGTTTTTTTCTTTCAAATAGAAAGTCCTTATGGCCCTGGCTCCACTCCGTACCCATTCTGGGGAGCGTCAGCCGGCAATGATTTCTTGGTTCGTTCAACTTTGTTGTCTATTGATTTTAATTTTTTTTATTTTTTTTTTGTTTACAGGTTCTGTCTGCATCGAAAATTCTCGCCGATGACATCTCAGCCAAGCAAAAGGAGGCTGAAGAAACAGAGGAGAAGATTGACGAGGCTCGCGCCGGATACACGCCTGTCGCAAAGCTGGTTTCCAATCTCTTCTTCTGTGTCTCAGGTAAGGGGTTGCTGCTAAGAGGCTCGCCACACCACTGTCGAAAGGGTAAAAAATTCAATGGCCGACATAATAAATTTGACAGCCTCCCTTTGACAGTTTGCCCCCTTTTAGCCACACAGGACTGTAGAATGGACACACTTGTGAATGAAATTCAATGAATGCAAGATGGAAAAAGACAAACGCGCCTGAGGGTACGGCAACCATTAGTCCATCCTGACCTCACTCCCCAAATTCCGAGGAGAAGTTGATCGCGCAGCCGGGGACTGTTGAAAGCATCAGAGTAGCAGGCTAGGGATTCAACGACTTTTGGAAGGAGTCGTCGAGAAGCATTCTCTGACAACTTACTTGCGGATTTTCGTCCCGTCTCCAATTTGTGTGGCCAAGAGAAACTATCGAAAATCGTGTTTTCGACAGCGGTGTGGTGAGGCCTTAACTGTATACACAATATTGTCTGAACACATGGTCTAGAAGGATGGATGATGCACGGGTAAGTGCACTCGTTGGTATGGCGTATACATAGTCAAACAGAGATGCCCAGTAAACCGTAGGCAGAGGGAGAAGAGGACAACAAACAAGAGACTGTGACAAACTGTTTCATCGAAGTTTATATATTGTGACTTGTGATGCGCAGCACAGTGCGTTCTCTTTCATCCCTGGAAATTGATTTCGAATTTCGGAACAGTCCTCAATACATGTGTGTCATCTCGCATAGGGGCTGTGCTAATCGTCTCTAAATTGTGTCAGTTCTTAGCGGATGTCCCGATGGACGTGATGTGATGTGTTAATTCCATCAAACATTTTTTTTATCAGTGTGGTCTTTTTCTCTACTTTTCTCCCCATCTCCAGGAAACTAGGACGCTGCGGACATAAATCATTAGGTGTAAAGTGGGCTTGTGCAGCGGCCCGATAAACATGATGGTGCTGTTGACAGGATTTGCAACGTGCATTAACTGAGGTTGCTGACCTTGATCTCCACTCTTCGGATTCTGCATCACAGAATCAATCCTGCTAACCATTGTAACTGTATATGATCAGTGTTGATTGATTTCATAGTACAGAACATGAATTGACTATGCAGTCCACTTGAAGGCTCTTGTCTTTTTCAGAGCACATGATCACTGACAGCAAGCAGAACTGCTACCGTCTTCACCCGAATAGAATGCCCGGTAATTATCGCTGTACCTAGACAGAAAGTTGCACCAAATACAGCTGTAATGACTGGCATTCTATTCGGGTTAAGACGGTAGAACCGTAGAAGTGCCTTTGCCAATTAGGCTGAGCTTAAGTGGTACACTACGACATGCAATTTAGTTCACTTCGCTCGAGTAGGTAGGTGTAGACCCATAACCTTAGGATAGCTTAGGCCTAGTTAGTGCATTTAAGGGTGGGAGTTGCTCCTCCTGAACAAGTGTGATCCATTATCTGCCTTGTAGGGCTTGTGGATAGGCCATAGACATGGGTAGCTAGGGTGAGGTGAGGATGAAGAAAATACTAAAATAGGGTAGGTAAAAAACAAAAAACAATAGTCCCCCACATGAGGAGAAGACAGCTGAATTTTCCTCTTTAAAAAAAAATAAAAATTTGAATGACATGCAATTTAGTTCACTGCGCTCAAGTAGGTAGGTGTAGACCCATAACCTTAGGATAGCTTAGTAGGGCTTGTGGATAGGCCATAGACATGGGTAGCTAGGGTGAGGTGAGAGAGAAGAAAATACTAAAATAGGGTAGGTAAAAAACAAAAAACAATAGTCCCCCACATGAGGAAAAGACAGCTGAATTTTCCTCTTTAAAAAAAAATAAAAATTTGAATGAATACCTGCCATGCTGTGATGCAACAATGGACACATAGATTGCGAAGTGTAGCCACACAAGCTCAACTTTGGTTGGCTATACCTGACTATACCCGACTATGCTGTACTTGGCTATGCTATACTCGACTATGCTGTACTCGGCTTACACTCAGCTACCGAAGCTGGGTAATGGCTTCAGAATCTTCAAAAGTATCATCACATGTAAGAGTTTGCCAATTAAAAAACAAAAAAAGTTTGCCAATTACACTTAGTAACTTCAGGACTCAGTAATGGAGGTTGAGATCAAGGACCACCTCACATGGAAGCCATGGATGGTAGTCCAGGCAATCCCCTAAGGCCTCTTAGGCGGTGACATCCCCGCAGAACGAGCAGCAGTTGCAGGGTCAATTGCAGAGGGACATGGGCTCTTCGCAGACGAACAGGAGCATTTGGCCCAAGCTCTGGAAGCGGGCCCCCGGGTGGTTAGAATCCACAACACAGAACCCTTCGGCACTACCCCCAACTAATTAGTCGTTACCAAGAAAGGTAATGGTGGTCCTACAGCCAACCCTCAAGGACATCATCGAACCACATAATTGAGACCGCACAAGTGGGCAAAATCCGACATTTCAAACTCAAGCCGAGGGAGCCTGAGTTAACAGCGATGTCATGGAACGTTACTAGCGACAATCCTATCTAATGGCGAAAAATGGGATAATATAACTAGTTACCTCAATTGGTTCTCAAGGAACCTACCGGACATAGTATGCATACAAGAAACACACCTAACCAACTCAGCAGAGCACCAAGCAACGATCAATAGAATACAGTCCAAGCTGAAGCATGTAAAAGCAAGTCAATGGGCTCCTCAACAAGGATCGGCTCAGCAGGAACAACCATACTCTGGAATGGGACCTCAAGAGCAGCCAACCAAAGCAACATCATGGAATGTCAAATAGATGTTGAAAAAGGAAGATAAATTAAAATTCACTTCACATACAAAGAAGAATCCTTCTAGCTATGAAATGCCTATGGACCCAATGACCCTACTCAAAGAAGAGACTTAATATAGCGTATCTCAACAAGATTTGACATGCAAAAACACCTGCTGCTAGTAGGAGATTGGAACACGGTACTCGGCCCATTAAACGACTGGATATCTACACAACAGATGAATAGGGAAGAAACCTTATTAAGTGAAGCCCAGGAGATGAATACACTCATCATGGAAAGATGCTTATTAGAACCCCTTAAAACACTCCACCCACAAAAGAAAAGACTCGCCTTCAAGAAAAGAAACAGATCACAACACATAACAATCTCAGCAATAGACTACTTTCTAGTTTCTGAGCCACTCAGAGGAGCAAGTCCACAACGTCGGAATAGGCAAACCTCCTTACAACAAAGGTCTAGATCATAGCCCAATCTTCATCAACCTACTCTTTGACCCCGGAGTACAAAAAGGCCCTAGCTTCTTCAAGATAAATAACTCCATACTAGACACTCCACAAATGAAGGAAGCAATAGCCATCGTGTGCATAGAATCGGAAAGAGAAGGAGCGAACTTCCCAAGCATAGTAGCCAATCTATCCGAAGCGGCATCCATAGCGTCCAGAAAACTGGGAGCTCAAAGGAACCAACGCATAAAAGAACTAGAAGCAACGGTCCAAGTAGCAGAAAGAAACCTCATTAGTAACCCCGCCCAACCCCTATATGAGAATTCTCTAGCCAAAGCAAGATCAGAACTGGGCATCTAGAATTCATGGAAAGCAAAGGGAATGAGATTAAGAGCAAGAATCAGAGAGTGGGAAGAAGGAGAAAAAATAACGAAATATTTCTTTCAAAAAATTAGAGCAAGAGGGAGAAACTCCGCCATTCATCAACTTAGAGGAGAAGAGGGGCTTACTTCAGACCCAAAGAAGATGTTGTCAATAGCAGAAACGTTTTACAAAATCCTCTATACCTCCAAAACATAACAACCCACTCCAGGATCAGTGATACGAGCAAGAGAAAAAGTTTCCAAGCACCTAGCGAAAACAATTTTCGCGGCACTAGCAGAAGAACTAGATGCACCCGTTACAAACGAGGAAATTAAAAAGCCTTGGACTCAATGAAAGCTGGGAAAACCCCTGGTCAAGATGGATTGTCCAAAGAATTTTGGCAAAGGTACTGGGAACTCCTAGGAGAAGAGTACAGTAAGTTCATAAGGGAAGCATGGTGTTTGGAGGGCTTAGGAAAATATCTCAGTACCGAGATAGTCACCCTGCTATACAAGAAAGGAGACCCCACAAACATAAAAAAACTACCGACCTATCACCCTACTAACAGTAGCATGTAAGATTCTAGCCAAACTTCTAGCAAACAGAATCAGGAAGATCACCAAAAACTGCTTCCACATAGACCAAACAAGCTTCATTCCGGGCAGATTCATATTAGACAACGTAATGACTCTAGCGGAATCAGTAAGATATATTAAGGATAAAAGACTGAATGTCGCAATCCTCTTCTTTGACTTTGAGAAAACCTACAACCAGGTCAACTGGGAACTCCTCCAACAATGTATGGAAAAAATGGGAGTGGGGTCAAACTTCAGAAAATGGGTTAGAATTTTGTACAATGACGCACACGGAGCAGTTCAAGTAAACGGTCACATATCTAATCTCTACGAGATGTCTAGGTCCGTAAGGCAAGGAGACCCGCTAGCAGCTCTTATATTCATGTTCATCATGGAGGCGATAGCCTCCTTCCTTAGGAAAGATCCATCCATACAACGACTCACAAATGTGTCAGAAGACCCCAACAGACCACACCACATACCACCCACAATCATGTTTGCAGATGACTTGACCGTACTCATAAGAGCATCAAACTCTTCCTTCGAGGCCCTCACTAGAGCAATGAACGCACCAACTGGCGTCCAAAATGCGAATCAGTTGGCAGAAAACAATAGGATGGTGGTTAACTGATGGGAGCATAGACCTTCCTCAAAACACTCTAGAGGGCATGACTTGGTAAGACACAAAAGACCCCTTGAGAGTTCTAGAGATACAAATGTCAGAACATGGAGCAGAGACAGAAATGTCCCCTAGCCTCCTAACCAAGATGACGAACAAACTAACTAGCTGGGGCAAAATAGACACCTCTTTACATGGCAAAGCCCTTATACTAAACTCAGGCATATTTGCCATGATGTGGTACGTAGCAGCCTTT